AATACAATCTGCCTAAATGAAAATACTTAGTGAGCCGAAAGAAGATTCAGAAAAATGCTAATGACCACAGCCGTCGATGCTGCAGAAACAAAACAAAAAAATAAGTTCGTCACTAACTGTGTATTATGCGTTTGCTGATTCATCCATAGCATACAATGTTGTCGTTTGGGGATAATCCTCAGATTCAATGAGTATGTTAGTTCACCAAAAGAAGTATCAGAAAAATATATAGTCTTGGGTATCAGAAGCCTAGTAGCTTTTAAGCAGAACAACATCTATTCATGCTACTGAGTTACATACATACTAGGAAAAGAGAGCATGACAGAAACAACTTTAATCACATTTAATCCGCTCGGGGGCGCAATGAGCATTATTTGAAACGCAGATTGTATCTTCCTGTCTCATAAAATTCAAGGCAGGTTTAAACCAGTTGCAAATGACGAATTCACTAAGCATTTGTCAAATAAACTTGTTGAATTGCATGTTTTATACATTTTAATTATTGTACTTTCTTCTGACCTATCTACGTGTTATGACAAACAGGTTTAAATATATTATTGTTCTTTAAATAACCATCCAGCTGACAAAGCTTAAGGAACCGACAAAATAAATTCAATAAGTCAAAAATTGTATGGATTGCAGTATAAGCCACTTCTCGAAAGACGAAGACAACTTAACTACAAGATGAATGTACTTTCTGTGGATGCAGTATTTTCTTCTCTAGGCAGCTTTTAATGCGTATACCCAAGAAAGCTTTTATAGAAGATTGCAACATAAACCATTTACCTTGTAATATGAAAAATAATTGGACATATATTTTTAACGTATGAGGGTGAATTACAACTGCATTACACTACATTACGTACGGAAAACTTTAGAATGGCTACTCCAAAGATATGGTAGAACGATGTATTTGGATGATCCATCCCAGCATAATACAAAGATCAATAATAGTCGATATTTTGACGCTATTCCATTAAGTTGATGGAACTACTTCCCAAAAGTGCTAAACGAAATATGTAAATCCAAAATTTCTTAAGCAAACTACATGTTATCTTTATCTTTATTAACCTCTTAGATACAGAATAGTACATGCAGTGAAAAAAAAAATTAAAAATAAAATAAATGAGCTATACAATATAAATAAAATTTATAAAAATATAAGTAAAATCAATATAAATATGGGGTTGTCCAAAACGGACGCAGGAAAGTAAACGCATGTTAAAACAAGAAAGATTGATATTCAAATCAAGTTGGGTGCTTTATTTTGAAGGTTCATTTATACCATTTATGTATGAAAAATAATATCGCTCAAATGTTCACCACACATTTTGCAACATGGTCGGTTCTATGGCATTTATCTCGACAATGATGTTGTCTTTGAGTTCTTGGAGGGTGGCTGGTTTGTTGACGTAGACTTTGCTTTTCAAATATCCCCATAAAAAGAAGTCCAAGGGAGTCAAATCGCACGATCTTGGTGGCCATGGCACATTTCCTCTGCGCGAAATCACGCGATCACCGAAGAAGGACTGCAATCCATGGATATTGACGTTGCTTGGGTGGCATGTTGCACCGTCTTGTTGGAAATAAATATCGTCCATATCCATTCCTTCAAGTTGCGGCAAAAGGTAGTCCTCTATCATCACGTGATATCGCTCAGAATTGACGGTAACGGCGTCCCCGGTCGCATTTTCGAAAAAGTAAGGTCCGATGATGCCTTTTGACCACAATGCACACCACACAGTCACTTTTTGAGGATGCATCGGCTGCTCTTGATACTCACGGGGATTTTCGTTAGCCCAGATGCGGCAGTTTTGCTTGTTTACCGTCCCATTCAAAGTGAAATGCGCTTCGTCATAAACATGATTTTTGATGAAAACTTTGCATCAATTTGGCGGTGTTCAAGGAGCCAATCTGAGAACGTTCGGCGCGAAAAATGGTCGGCCCGACGCAGCTTTTGCGTCACTTGGATCTTGTAGGCGTGTACATTCAAATCCTTGTGGAGAATGCGGAGCAAACGGGTTCTCGAAATGCGCAATTCTTGGGATCGACGCGTTGTTGATTGTATCGGATCGTCTCTCACACTCTCCTTCACAACAGCAATATTTTCCGGTGTGCGAACGCTCCTTGGCCGGTCAGAGCCTGGCAGATTTGCCACAGAACCTGTTGCCTCGAATTTACGCACCAGACGACCGATGGTTGTTTCGTTTGGGCGGTTGTTGCGACCAAAATGTTCACGAAGCGCGCGAAACGCGTTTTTTATTTTTGCACCATTTTTGTAGTGCTCTTGAATAACTTTAATGCGGTCTTCAATCGAATACGACTCCATAGCGATCAGTGGTAAACATTCAACTAACAAAATGACATGTCGGTGACAGAAAACAAAGATGGCGTCTATGTCAAATTGACGTTTACTATTGGACAACCCTTTATAACAATATTTATAAACATTTTATTTCATCTTGAAGTACTCAGGGTTGTACTCGTACATTCCATATATTCACTTATAAAATCCATTTGATGCTAATAATCTTTTAACTTGGTTTTTAAATCGAAAATAATTACCAATTTGCTGTATTTCAGCTAGTAATTTATTATATAATTTGATGCAGTTATAGTAGGGTGTTTTTTTGAAATGTGTCGTGATAGGTGTCTGGATGGTCTTTAAGTTGAGATTTCTAATATTATAATTATGATGAGCATTAATATTTGGGAACAGGTTATTAAACTTCTTAACGTAGGTTACACATTTCAAAATGTAAATACAGTGCAATGTAAGAATTTCTCGTGATTTGAAAATTTCTCAGCAGGAGTCAAGTGGCTTCGTTCCGGAAGTTAATCTGATGATACCTTTTTGGGCAACAAATACTCTATCAATTTCGGATGATTTCCCCCATATAATAATGTTATAAGACATGTGGCTATAAGCCAGCCCATAATATACATTGATAATAGCTTTTACATTTACGACATCTTCAAGTTGTAAAATGGTACAGTATGTTTTACTTAAATCTTTACATACGTGATCTATATGTTCATGAAGGTTTAGTTTACACGTGAAATATGTACCAAGTAATTTACAAGAATCCGATAAAACAAGCTCATACAAATTCAAGACCAAGTCAACTGTACGTTGGATGTTAAAATTGATAACAACAGTTTTATTATAATTTAAGATTAACCTACTTCTTTGACACCAAGCAGAAAATTCATCGAATATACTTAGAATTTTGGAGTGCAGGTGATTGGCATTTCTCGCAGATACATTCATAGTGGTATCATCTACAAACATGGTTATATATTCCTCTGAGATATGAATGGGCAAATCACTGACGTATAAATTGAACAGCAGTGGTCCCAGTGCATCATGTTCAACAGGATATGTATCAGATGTTGTACTTCCAACTTTAGCTTTCAGATTTCTGTCCTGCATGTAAGATATAAGGTAACCCAATTCAAGAAGAAGTCTCTAATGCCCACAGTGTATAATTTTTGCTCAAGTATGTTGCTGTTTATAGTGTCAAGTGCCCTAGATAGATCAAAAAGTCAAGATACTACATATTCACCTTCGTCAAGTCTACTATAAACATATTCAAGCAAATGACAGCTTGCAGTTTCGATGGATTTCTCAACTCTAAATTCATGTCGGCACACATTCAGAATGTGAGATTGTTCAGCAAAATTGTATAATTTGTGATACATGACTTTTTCTAGTAGTTTAGATATATTGGTCAAAAATGAAATTCGACGATAGTTCTCAACGTCATGTTCACCTTTTTTAAATATAGCTCTAATCACAGCGAGTTTCAAGATATTAGGAAAACAACAACTTCCAACAGATTCATTAAATAAAACTCTAACAGGGTATCACCAATACAACTAAGAATTTCATTTAAAAGAAGTAAAGTAATATTATCATAGCCAGTAGAACTTTTGTTTCTAATTTTTTTTTAAATATTTTGAAGCACGTTTAAGGTGGCTGGTTCCGTAAAAATAAAATTTTGTCTGTAAGATGAAATGCTACAGGGAAGTGATAAGTTCTGGCCAAAGTGTGACTTCATTTTCTGAGAGACACAGGTAGAGAAGTTGAGCGCAAAGAATTGGCAACTTCCTTGTTCAGTTATTAGATTTCCATGTGAGTCTTTCATTCTACATATATCCTTGATTTTTTTAGAAGATGATCTGCCAAGTTTTGTATCGATTATTTTCCACGTCTCCTTTACTCTATTGTCTGCATTACAAATTTTTTACGAGCAATAATTTCTTTTTGAATATTTCTGCGGTAATTTCTTTTTTCTTCTAAATAAAGCTCTTTTATCTCTGATGTCCCAATATCGATCATCAATTGATAAACATTTCTTATATGCTTTCCTTGAGATTTTATAGTTTCATTGACCCAACCTATGTCCTTTTGTTCTTTTAATATTACTCTTGAAATATGTCTTTCAGGGCAAGCTGAATCCAAACACCACTTAAGCCTTCAACAAAGTACTTGCATTATATATGTCTGAATCATATACAGTTGACCAATCGGCTGTTCTTAATAAATATTTAGAGTATTCAATACTGGTGCTATTTAGACACCTCGGCGTGCTAACAACTTCTTTTTCTTGTTCCTCATTTTTAGTAGTGTTTAGTACTGCACTTGCGCAAAATGGTCGGATAAAGGTGGAGTGAAAATTTCGCACATATTTGAATCATCTGGCAAATTTGTAATAATGTAATCGATAGTACTGCGAGAAGTGATACCTAAGATATTAGTGATGGTGCAAAAACGTAAATTAAAAGAGTCTAAGATATTTACGAGTAATCTACCAGAAAAGTGGTCTTTGCTGGCATCTATATTGAGATCACCACATATATAGCCTGTATCTTTGACGATTGAAGAAATTGGTGGGTCAACGTCACCATTATAAGGTCTATAAGCAGCTATAATGGCGAATTTACTTGAATTTTACGTTCCACAACTACTGTAATCGTCTAAAATGGGATATTACGTTTCTTGGAAGTCATATGACATGTACATCACGGGGAACCTTTTCAGGCAGCAGCGGTGGCCGCAGTAGTAGACTCTTCGGTCTCCTGATCAGTCGCCGTATGCTGTGCGGGTTCGAGTCCCGTCCCAGGAGAAATTTTTCTCTTGGCTATGGATGTTGTGATTGTCCGTAGGTGGTAGACGGTATCTGACTGTCGAACGTGGAGGTACCACCCGGCGGATCTCGTAGGCGGAGCCAGAATGTGTGCATGTTGCATGCACACGTGTTCCCTCGCCAGAGTCCGTGTGGCGTTCCCCCTTTCCCCTGTATCCCCCTATAGCCCAACGGTACCCAATGGGTGTTTAGGCCTTAGGCCTTCGTGGTAGTTGGAGTATAAAAAAAAAGTCATTTTCGTCGATCTGTGTGTTTTCCTGTCTATGTGTCCGCTAATCTTCTACCTTGCTATAACTTGGGAAGTGCCTGTCGGACCTTAATGAAATTTCACAGAGTCACCACTATTCTAAGGATGAATAAGCTTTGTGTTTTTGAAAATCGGTACAGCCCCAGTGGAGAAAAAAGGCCAAAATTGAAAAAAAAACGCGCAAACTTAATTAGGTACCTGTCCCTAAAATATGAAATCATAAGGAACTTCCACATTATAGACTTATAAGCTTGTTATATGCGCTTTCAAAAATTCTAGATAAAATCATATATAAGATATAGATATAGATTATATTCCAAGAAAAGAAAAACACCAAACAAAGCTAACTAAGACTAACGCTAAGGAAACGGATGCAGAAATGCAGTAAATACAGGACGCAAATGCTCGATTTCTATATATTCATTTCGGTCGGGCCAGCGACTGAGCGCTTTCGCTCCAGAACATCTCATGTCATCTTAGAGCAGGAGTTCCCAACCAGGGGGCGCGCCTCCCAAGGGGGGCATAGGCGGAAAGCCTTTGTATTTCAGAAAAAAAAAACAAAAAAAATAAACAAACAACATTAACAAATAACATCAGAATGTAATGTTTAACTTACACGCATAAAATTAGAAATTAAATACATATCATACTCACTTATTCTGTCAACCGACGTCGTCAATCGCAGTTTATATAAGTTTCGACAAGTCGCAACATGAAATCCGCGCGTACCTCCGCCACGCTCCGCTTAACATTCATCACTTAGAAAACAATATTATGTACCTACTAGACGCGGATGAGCATCTGTGCTATTCATTCCCACAAACTTGCGTAAAGTTTGACGTTTCGATGTACATGTTTTGTTGAGATATCTGTTTGAGTGTGTCAAATTATTGTGTCTCACTGTTAAAAGGTAAGTTTGTGTATTTACCATCTTCAGTTAACATTTTTATCTAATTTGATCGGCCACTGGGACTTTTTACCACATCACATCAACGTGGCGAAATAATTTTGAAACGACGAACTTTAGGTACCTAATATTGATTCCAAATGTATTTAAAATTACTATTATAACGTCAGCCTGCCTATAATAATATAAATCTCGCGGTGGCCATTATACTGTTGAAAAAATTAAGTTATTAAGACAAAATAATGGTCGTATTATTAGTAATTAAATGTAGGCATTTTGCTTATTTATTTATATCTTATTTTTTTTATTGTTATAGGTGCAAAGTGGCAGCGAAAAAAAGAAAGTTTTCCGATTACGTTAAGTTAGGATTTACCTTCATAGAAAAAGACGAGTTACAATTACCGCAGTGTGTGATATGTATGAAAGTTTTAAGTAATGATAGGAGGAGGCTCAATCGCCTTGAAAGGCATTTGAATAGAATAGAATAGAACAGAATAGAATAGAATAGAACAGAATAGAATAGAACAGAAATTTATTGGTTTCTCAGTTATAAACAAAAACCAAAGAAATTTATAACAGAGACAACACGTCATTCTGATACAGTGTAAATAACACACAATTTTTTTCAAAGTATATACAAAAACAAACATACATAGACAACATATAACAACAGCGATATTAATGCTCACGGTTTCACTAGAGCACAGAACTCTTCAATACTATATGGTTCCATATCGCATTTATAGTTATGAAGTACCCTCTGGACAATCCCATGAGTCATATGTTAATGCAATGAGCTATTTAAAAAACTGATATTGACTTTTTTAATACAGACGTGAATTCACTTAAAAACTTATTGTCATTAACAGATCTCACTAGGTCTTAGTCTAAGCAGCTATTTGTGGTTGTTTTGTTGTTATTATTTTATTATTTTATATTGTTTTGCCTGTGATGAATTTTATTGAAACTGATTTGTATCTTAGTATCATAACTGTGATAACTTTTTTTCTTAATTTTTTTTCTTTATTTTTATAGTTTTCCAGTTCTAGTCTTGGCTCATTTAAAAGTTATATTTCATTGTTGCCTCGCGTTGTTTTACTCTAGTTCTAAGTTCTCTTGCATTATAATTACTCTAGGGTGTTTTGTGAGACTTTAAGCAAATGAATAAATAAACAAATATAGTGAATGCTGAAATGGATTGAAGATATTGAGGTAAAGCATTGTAAAGTTTAAATGTGGAGTAATGTGGACATTTTTCGGTAGAATTTAGTTTGGGTAGAAGTATTTCTGACTTTTGCGAGTATTGTAACTGTGGTTGAAGACGTTTTTCCCAAACTCTTCTTTATGGTTAAAGATAAATAGTAGAGTGTTATAGATATAAATTTCCGATAATGTTAATAAGCGTTAATATACTTCTACATGACTCTCTAGGTTTCATTTTGAACATTGTTCTTATTATCCTCTTTTGTATGATAAAAATTCTATTCATCGGCAAGCTATGGCTTCCAAAACATTGCCACAGAAATTACGCCAGACTTTGGACTCGACTATAACAATTGTAAACTACATCAAGAGCGGCGTCTTGAACAGTCGGTTATTTACTTAACTTTGCGAGGATCTCGATTCTGTTCCATAGAGAATTACGCTGGCTGTCCAGAGGCAACATGTTGGCTCGCCTTTATGAATTGAAAGAAGAGGTAATACTTTTTCTTGAGTTCAAAGAAAACCACGATTTCTTTACAATGTTCAATGGAAGTTGGCTTATTTAACTGACATATTTGACTCTTTGAATGAGCTAAACTGGGAATTTCAGGGAAGAAACGACACTATAATATGCAATTATGATTATATTCAGGGGTTCATATCAAAGCTTCAACTTTGGAATCAAAAAGTGTCTTCTGAAAATGTTATATCTTTTTCTCGTCTGATCGAAGCAATTAAAAATAACAAACTGGACGCAAAATTCAAAAGCTCACATAAAAACTCATTTGCCAGTGCACGAAGACGAATTTCGCCGATAGTATCGAGACATCAATTCAGAGTCACCAATATTTCACATGACAAGAAATCAATTTGTTGTCGATGTATCACATTTACCAAAAAAATTTCAGGAGGAATTTCTAGAAATTTAAGACTGATTCGTCCATGAAAGATGACTTCCACCTTTTAACATTGGAGAAATTTTGGGTAAAAAGGTTGCCTGTTAATTCGACACTAAGCTCTCTTGCTTTACGAATACTGGTTCCTTTTTCTTCAACTTACTTATGCGAGACAGGCTTTTCTGCTCTAGTTATAATAAAAACTAAACAGCGAAATAGTGTGTCGATAGCGACCTGATGATAGCTCTGACAAAAACAGAACCTAGAATGAATCAACTGGTACAGAACATGCAATCTCAAGTGTCTCATTAGTATCTACTTTTATTTTCTTCAAGTTTTTCGATATAAAACATTCATTAGTTTATTTAACTTTCAAAGTTCCTTTATTAGAATTAAAATGAAGGTATTTGTACCTATACATTGTGAGTTTTTTTTGTATTTACTGAAAAAGTAAAGACGAGCATGAAAATATAATTTATAGTCCGGGGAGCTTCAACAAAAAAGAGATAGGGAAACCCTGTCTTAGAGCATACCGTTTGGACTGGAGCCCGCGAAGTTAAACATATTTTCCGGGAGAACTGGTAGCCTATGTGCTATTCCAGACTGTAGCCTGGATTGCATGGAAGAGCAACTAAAGTTTGGCAAACGGATCTGCAACAGCGAAAGGAATGCGACCGAAAATATTCGATATTGCCAAATTTAACTACAAAAAAGCAATAATAATAATAAAAGTAATTTCAATGATTTGAAAATCGATTTTTCACAATTCCAAAAAATAATAATTCAAAATACTGAGTATTTTAATGGGTTGTTAGCTCTATTTGTATTTAATAACTATTTTTTACTACTGAATCGTATTATAAGTAAACATTTTTCCAAAGATCTTATCGACATCGGTTGAGCTGGCAACAACCACCCGAAAGGTATATTGGACACCGCCTAAACGAATCTGATTGGCGGATATCCTCACATGTTTTGTCGCCAAGAGAAAATTCGACTCCCTATTGGGTAGCGTCCCAGACAATTTTTTGCTCCCTTCTTAGAATATCCATACTATTGAAAAGTCCACTGGCGTAGGTTTTATCTCCGTTCATTGTCGTGTATGAGTGTTACATTTATTGTTCTACTAAGTTTGTATGTTTAGTGCTGTGTGTTTTTGAATAGTTTAGTGTTTTGTTATTTGTTATTGTTATTCGTTTTAGTATTATTTTTTTAAAATGAACTAATTTACTCGCGGAAAGACGCTTCATAGCCAAACAAGAGAAGTGATTGCGAATGCTTATAGGTTAGTAATAATAATATGCAATAATTGTAGTTTTTGACGACTGAGTCTGAATATAAATAAAAAACAAGGAAATGCTAAGCTTACATTCTGATGATTATTTATAGGGTTTGCGATGAGGAAGCGGCAAACAATTCCCTCAAGTTGCCGCTTAAACGTAAGCTTGATAGGGTGTCCCTTTATACCGGAGTCGGAGTATCTTCTGCTAGGAAAATTCATAACGAAGATAAAGAAAGACTAGAAAATAACCCGAATAAAATGTTATCCAGTCCCGGAAAAAAAAAGACCGCGTCAGTCTCTTGTTGAGAAAGATGAAGATTTTGATTTTCAGATTATTAGACATTTGATAAACAGATTTTATATTGAATATAAAGTTATCCCGACAACTAGGGAGTTATTACAAAAGTTGCGAGAAGACTCAAATTTCCCCTATTCTAGGGAAGCACTCAGGAGTTTATTAAAATCAAATTTTTTTTTTGGCGCAAATGTCAAAATAAAAGAAAAGTTTTGATGGAGAGGCCTAATATATTGCAATGGAGGTACAAATACGTCCGTGAAATACGTAGATATCGTGAAGAAGGGCGCAATATTGTTTATTT